TTTGGGCTGAACCATTCCCACTGCTTTATTAGAGTAATAGCAGATCTTAATCTGCCACCTGTTGCTGTCCCTCCCATCCATTAATTCCCAAGTATTTATTCATTTCCCCTTTTAAACATTCCAATTGATTACATCCTACTTCACAGTGTATTCTGTGCAGAGTTAAATACGATTTGACGTCTTTCATATCAGGAGCTCTCTGGCCTTAACATTGATTTTAACCATTTTAGACCTTAAACACAGCTCTTATCTTCTCTCAGCCTCTCCCCCTCTCGTATAACCATTCACACATACTCTGGGTCTCAGACCCAGTTTTTCTTTCTATAATCTTCCACTATTGCCTTCTTTTGTCTTAATAATAATAATAATCCTTGCACTTGACATAGCTTATCACGTCTTTGAGAAGTCTCAAAGCGCTTCAAAGAATATACGGTAAAATACACCATCAACACCTCTGATCTCATCATCTACTGTCCTCCACCTAATTGTTCCTTTGTCTTTCTTTCCAAAGTACACAGTTACTACATTTTATAGTAATTCCTGTGACGTTCTCTGAGATGCCCTTCTGACATGAAGCATTTTAGATGGAGCAGAATTGTGGAAAATTCTTGAATTCTGTCTTAGTTTGGAAGCGGGTACTTTTTAAGACTGAATTTAAGAATTTTCCACAATTCTATGCAATCTTAAATTTTAAGGCAAAGTGATCTTACTAAGACCAGGTGGAATTTTGGGCCTAATGTCTGTACTAGTGACGTCTATCTGGTCAGGCTACACAAAGGTTTGTATATGATTCCTCATCACTAAATGATGACTGAATCATCAGATTATATTTAAATTCCCACATTTTTCAAATATGAATGCCGTGCGCCCAATTAATTTTCTAATTTCTCCCCATTGGCACACTTTTCTTTGCCCCCAATCACTTTCCGGGAGTAATAATCCCTCTNAAAAAAAGTCACTCAACCCACGACTGTTTAAGGGACAATGCTGCGCACAATTGGCTGCTGCATTTCATCCACAAAATACTTTAGAATATATTCTGTGAAGCACTTTGAAACACCTCAATAACACGGTAATCGTGGAGTCCTGTAGCTCAGTGATTAGAGCACTCGCTTTGCAAGCGAGAGACCTGAGTTCAATTCCAGGCAGAGGGCGAAACCTTGGGCAAGTTTCCTTACTCCACACGCCAAATAGCAATCCCTCCAAAACCAAAAACAATAATAAAATTGGTCATTTTCAATCTACGACTGTTTGTGGGACATTGCTGTGCGCAATTGGCTGCCGCGTTCGCCCACAAATATACAGTCAATTCACTTTACAGTGTGTTCTGTGAAGCGCTTTGGGACGTCCTCCCGACGTGAAAAGCGCTATATCAAATGCAAGGATTATTATTATTATTATAATGCACTATATCAAATCAAGGATTATTATTGTTGTTCACATTGGCAGTGTGTTTGCCTGCAAAGGTCGTCACAGATGAACCTGACCTCTCCTCATCTGGCTGCCACATAGGTGCACAATTATTAGACGGTACAGTAGAGGGGCCAAATCAGAAACCCTGGTCGTTTCCCTGCTGCTCTATCGGGGACAGTCAGGGCTGCCCTCCCCACAAATGGTTTATGAACAGCCCACAAGGAAACTGTGTGTTAGATATTTAATTAGGTGCCCACAGAGTCAGACTGACTGGTTGCAAATATCCAAGGCCCAAAATTTTACCTGGTCTGAATCTATAAAATTATGTTGTCATAAAAATTTAAGGCAGGAAAAATTGTGGAAAAATCTTAACTTCGGTCTTTATTTGAAAGTCGGTTCTTTTAAAGAACTGCAGGAAGTCAGCTTCCAAATTAAGGCCGCGTAAGAGAATTTTCCACAATTTTCTCCCTTAAATTTTAAGGTAGGATAGGCTCACAGGCTATGACCTGGTGAAATTGCACACCAGGGTGATTAATTGGGTGAGGATGATCCAAATTTAGTCGCTCTCAACTCCTGAGCTCCATCACCATCATGTCTGGTGCCCGTGTTCGTTCCCCCACTGTGTGATTGCATACAACATACACGTCTATGTCTGCATTAGATGAGATACATGGAGATAACTATATTGATGGTGAATGGGAGGAGCAGCAAGCCGGCTATTTGGTTATTGTATTGGATGCTCAGTGATAGCCACAACAGAGACAACCTTAGCCAGAGCCCAGGTACAAACCAGGCTCCTGCCGTAAAGTTCCTTTGCCAATGTAAAGTTTTAATTAAGTAACTTTAAAACCCCATTTGTTTTGAAAGCCTCCTGTGTTTGCCTATAGGATAAAACATTATTATTATCACAAAGAAGAACTAGCATTTTATACAACTTCAGTTTCACGGGGAATTGCTGTTAAGTGTAGCGACTTTTTTTTTAACAGAGCACCCACGTCGTGCACAGCAAGATGTCACAACAGTTTGGAGGTGATTAATTAATGTATTCAAAGATTTGTAGGCCAGAAAAATCTCTTCTCTTTTTCCAGTAATATTGCAGGATCTTAAACGTTCACCTGAACATGCAGACAGGACTTTGGTTTAACATCTCATCCGAACGATGTTGCCTCCAACAATGCAGGGCTGCCCCTCCAGTACTGCACTGTTGTGGCCCAATGTGGGGTTTGAACCCACAAAGCCTGACTCAGGACACAGATCGCTAATGACTGAAACCAGGCTGATATACATTCTATTAAATGTGTCTATCATGTGATCTATAAAATGTGATCTATAAAAAAATCTATTAAAGTTAATAGATTTATTAAAACTAAACCTGAAACTTAATCCAATTGTCTTCACTTTATTCAGCAAGTCAATAACTCTGAGCAGGTTGTTCTGTGAGCAGCAAATGAGGCCTCTGTGGGGAGGCTGGAATAATTGGGCCAGTGTTTGGACTGTTGCTGTGGTAACTATTCGTTGACATTTGATTCCATGCTTGAAAATCCTTGTTTAAACTAACGATCTCATAACTGTGAGTAAACAGAGTGAGCCCCTGCTATAACTACACACACTGAGTTGGCCTCAGTTGTCTGCACTGTAGCTGGACAAACTTCAACCCCCTCACCCACCCCTTGTGCCGAAACGGAGCTCTCACTCCTTCTGTTTCTGCTGAATGCGAGTCACTGCCTGATGCTGCTTTATCCTACAAGTCTAGCCATATATTGACTGAGTGTGCAAACGGCTTGTCAAGTTGATGGTTTGGCCTTTTGTCTGTTCAGCAGCAAGCATGCAGATCCCACGACCAGAATCTCTGGGGTCTAATTCAAGGCATTTCTTAAATTTTCTACAACATTGATGCCTATTAGTGAACAATTTACATTTATGTAGCACCTTTCATATTGGGAGGATGTCTCAAAGCACTTGACGTGTCTAAGCTGGGGAAAGGTGCTTGGAAAGATGACCGAAAGCACAATTGAGCTGGAAGGATTTGAACGCAAGGATTTTTTGGGGGTCAGTCAGGTGTCTGACACAAGCGGAAACCCATCCCCATGCTTAAGAGTATCTAAACCAAGCTGAGATTTCCATGCATCCCACCTACACATGGAAATCCCAGAGATGGATTGTTGGAATGGAATGCACACTCTTTCCCTGGAGGGACACATCCTACTTACCTAATTCTGGATAGTATTAGGCGCAGGTTGGCAAGAGCCAAGGCTTGAGGGACCCCAGAGTGTACATTGGGGTAACTGTTTGGAGTCTAACCAGCTAAAACTGCATAGCTTACTATTGATATTGCTGTCTGGCAAGCTTTTCCGCTGCTTGTCCAGCTAGGCCCACCCTACCCATTACAGCTTTGGCTTGCAGGATTAACAGGAGCTAAGTGGGATGACTCCCTGTCCTTGTTCAGCTCCAAGGAGATCCCAATTACCTCCATCCCAAAGAGAATAGTCATTAGTTGATTGTTCGACGTCCAACAAGTGCGGGTTTAAGCCCTGACTAGGTGACTAGGTGGATGGTAGGTACAAGGAACTCCCTGTGAACTTCACGGTGGGCAACGCGTCTCATCATGAAATGTGTGATAGCATTGCCACTGTCTTCCTGTCTGCAGTTCTGCCATATATTCCTTCCCATTGAGCGATGGTTCCACCAATTGGAGGTGCGGAGTTTAAGCAGCAGCTGCTTGTCTCTCTGCAGACCAATCAAGGTGAATTCCAGGTGGAATATGTGAGCACCACACCACACACAGCCCGGCACACCAGCATAACACACATTCCACATACACACAACCCTACACAATATGTGCATGAGCACACACACCACTCACGAGTACCCACACATATGTGCACACACACCAGCACAGGATTCCTTGATAGTGATCAGACATGAGAATTCTATTGATTTTCCTTCCCGTCAAACCAGGGGACTCTGATCCCCGATTGTAACTCAATACATTTGACCTTGTATCCTTCTCGTCTGCACCAGCACTTGTCTGCACCAGGAATGAGCCACTGTCTTGCCCATCAGCACAGCTTGACATGACATCTGATGGGCAAGGCAGTGGCTCAGTCTTTGATTGTGTAAATGTGGAGACTGAGGGGCTGCATGTGTATTTGGAAGCGAGAGCAGCAAAGGATTCTCAGTATCGATAATGTGCATTAACACATCACCTTTCACATAAATGTCCCAAAGTGTTTTACTAATAGAACTGATTAGAAAGCAAAGTAGATATTGTGACAGAGAGAATGAAGGCGTGTAACTTTAGTCACAGAATGCTGCTTGCACTTTCCTTGCTTTACATTCATTCAGATGAACTTCAGAAGTTTACTAAAAGGTGCAGACAAGGGCACATCCCAACCATTAACACCGCACCACGAGATCCCTCAGCACTGTGCTGAACCAAATAAATAATAATATTCCTTGCATTTGGTATAGTGCCTTTCACACGGGATGATGTCCCAAAGCGCTGCACAGAATTTACTGTTGTGTGTATATGTAGGCAAACGCAGTAGCCTATTTTCACACAGCAATGTCCCACAAACAGCCAAGGAGTGAGTGACCGATTTTATTTGGGAGATTTTTGACCAGGACACCAGGAGAAACTTTCTTCTCTTTTCAAATAGTATTATGGGATCTTTAACATATACCTGCACCAGCAGACACAATCTTGGTTTTAACATCTCATCCAAAGGATGCAGTAATACAGCACACTAACCACTGAAATGGAGTGTCAGCTTAGACCATGTCCCGACGTTGGGCTTGAACCCACAACCTTCTGACTCAAAGAAGAAAGTACCACCACTGCGCCAGGCAGTGTGTATAATCCCTAATCTCAGTTCATGTGAAGTATTCAAGTGGTTGAGTTAGTAATACCCCACTGCTACAATTCACCTGCAAAATTCCCAGTCATAACACTTTACAGTATACTCTGTGAGGTGCTATGAGACGTCCTCCTGGCGTGAAAGGCACTGAATCAAACGTAAGCATTCTGGTTTTATTGTTACTCTAATGCTCTGCATCCCTCAGCAGCCAGAAGGCTGCCTGTTTGAGGTCCAGTGTTAACTCCTCTTTGTCTTGGACTGTGGCCCTTGTTCGGACTTGTGTTCCTGAAACTTCTTCAGATCTGAGCAAAACAGGACCTGAAACAAGAGTGCAGCAAGCATGAGCTTGTATCAGGCGAGAGACTTTACGTAGCTGTAGGAAGCGTCTCATGTTAATTTTGAACACTTGCATCACTCACACCACAGATTTGCCAGAGGGGACAGGCTGGAAACAGAGCCTCTCTTCTCTGGGCCTTAGAGACTGTTGTTTACCTTAATCAGGATCTAACTAGACTATCTGATATTCAGGCCACCTCCCCCAGCTGTGACCTTATCATCAGTCGCTCAGAAAACAACTGACCAAAAGGTTCCGCACGAGTGCAAAGTGTTAGATGAACCCTCTCTCTCTCTCTCTCTCTCTCTTGATTTTTAAATGCAAATAGTGCAGCTATATTGAGGGCAGTGCTCTGTATCGTACCTCTCCATAATCGTCACTGTAACCTAAACCTAATCTATTTTTCGCCCACAAAATACTCAGTTTACAATACCCACTTTACAGTAAATTCTGTGAAACGCTTTGAAACATCTCAACGATGTGACAAGGCACTATACCAAAGGATTATTATAAAGCAGTGTTAGCCGGTGGCCAGCGGAGTACTACTATATGTGGTTGCGATAAGTAGTTGCTAGACTGGTGTCGACTTGTCTGTTTATGGGCATAAACATCTACAGTTACACACCTGACTCGATCAGAGACGCACATCTGTTTTTGCCGCAAACATATGCAATCTCCACCATAATGTTTTTCTCCCCATTCCCACCATTCGGTCGTCAATGCGCCCCTGTCTTCTGGAACCTTCCTCCAAAGTCTTGGTCTTCCTTCCTTTCGAATTCAAGATCCTCATCCTCACCTACAAGGCCATTCACGGCCTTGCTCCCTCCTACCTCTCTGACCTACTATCCCCCTACTTACCTGCCCGTACCCTCCGTTCCTCTGGCTCCGGTCTGCTCCACGTCCCCCGCCCCAACCGCCCTACCATCGGTGGCCGGGCCTTCAGCCTCTCAGCCCCTAGGCTCTGGAACTCCATCCCCCAGTGCCTTCGCCTTGCTTCCTCCCTTTCCTCCTTCAAGGCCGGTCTCAAGACCTTTCTCTTCAACAGGGCCTTCACCGCCCCTCTTGACTCTCTACCCCCTCCTCGCTCCTTCCCTTCCCTCCCCTCACCCTGACCATATCCCCCCCTGCTCGGGTCCCGTCCCAACTGTCCAGCGCCTTGGGACGTCCTCCCGACGTGAAAGGCGCTCTATAAATGCAATCTTGTTGTTGTTTCTCTCCCTCGAAAATATCTTTCTTCAACTGGACTTGAAACTGTTTCCCAGGATTGACCTTGCTGTGGCAGTCGGGTGTCTGACAAATGCATTAACCCATCGCAATGTTTAAGAGTCTCCAGACCAGACAGAGTTCTACACTTGCTACCTACACAACAAAATTCCCATATTTGGAATGGAATGCACACTCTCTACCAGGAGGGGCATATCCCACTCACCAACTTCCGGAGAGTATTAGGCACAGGTTGGCTAGAGACAAGGTTTGGGGACCCCAGTTGGGATTAACTGCTATTTTAACCAGCTAAAGGAATTACTGTAAACTGTCTGTTTGGGTAGTTTGTGCGTAAATTTACACACACGATGAAGTGAATGATAAATTTGATCTGGGGGCATTGTTGACCAAGACACCAAGAGAAACTCCTTTTTCTTTACTAGTAGTGCCATGGGATCTTTAACGTTCATCTGAACAGACAGATGGGACCTCGGTTTACACTGGAGCATTAGGTCAAAGTGATGTTCCAGTATGAGCCCACAGCCTTCTGACTCAGAGGCAAGAATGTTACTAACCGAGCCAGGCTGACACCTGACAAGTTGTATGCAAGTCCTATTTAAAACGCGTCAGGTGTCAAATACATAGTCACTACATTTCACAGTAAATCCTGTAAGTGCTTTGAGACATGCTCCCGACATGATAAAGTGCTGTATCAAGTGCAAGCATTATTATTGTTATTATTATTAAGGTTTATTAAATGAATGCAGGCTGTTGCCTCAGCGTGAATCGTGAAAAAACATTGGAATTTCAATCCCTGAATCACACAGTGTGTGACCACTCTTAGGAATATTCTATGATTGAGTATCACTAAGAAGCTATCCCCTGCACACAGGATTACTCACAGCTTGTGTCCAGCCAGCAAAAGGACCCCACAGGCTGCGAAAAAAGTCTCCTGAATAAAAGACAGAAAGTCACTAGTTTAGTCATTTTAACCAGTATGCTGTAGGCGTTTTGTCAAACACAGGTCTATTATTATAATCTAATATCTGCTTTCCAGTTTGTATGAGTAACATAACCGAGTAACATGCTCTGTGATGCACAGCAGCTGTCTGCTCACACCCTCTGATCTGGAAATAAGCCATGTTTATGTGATAGAGTGTTTTAGTTTTGACAAATTGCACCGACTTAGTTTAGCAGATGTGAAAGTGCTTTTTTTTACAGGGGTGAGTGGCAAGGAAGCTGGAGCACCATGCCAGAAAAGACCATGGGGTTCAGCTATGGTTTCAGTTGAAACAACATTAAAATGAGTCAGTCACAATGCATCGTTTGAGGATTATCACCACATGAGAAAAAGTCAAGGTTCAGTGTGGAATGTGGAAGGCTTTAACTACAAATAGCTGTGAATTCTCCTTGTGTCCTTGGGACTAACCTCCTTGGGGGGAAGGTAAGTGGGGTCTTGTAGCTGAACTGGCTCCAAGGTGACATGTTTGACATCGAGCCAGCTCTCTGTGGTGATCTCTAATTCGTTCCTGAACCAGGCAAATCCAGTATTCCAGGGCACTGCTGATGACAGCACAGCTAACCTGACTCATCAGGAGCACTTGGAAGCACAGACCAGTCACTGGTAGCAGAGACACTTCGCACTCAGCTCATGTCAACCAAAGCCCTAACAGATACGGTGGATTTGGTTGGACAAACATCATGAAAGCTTGCCAGATAGTTCCTATAAGCAGAGATAACACAGAGGGTGGTGGGTATGTGGAACCCGCTTACACAAACTATTGATGAAGATTCCATAATTATTGTAAAAGGGAATCAGAGAGATTCTTGAAGAAGACATTAAAGGGTGTGGAGGAGAGTGGGACAAAACGAGGTGGCTTACATGGAGAAAAACACGAATTGGCTGAACAGCCTATTTCTGTAATGATCCAGTGCTGTTCATGTCAAGAGGATATCTCAAAATGCTTTGCAGGATATACTGTAAAGAGGAGCGACCATACGTTTCTGTAAGCAAACTCCTAAATGCAGTTACTGTCTTACCGATATCACGATACACTTTATTAGTCAAACTCTTCTGAGTGCCTCCAAAGTTCTTGGCATAGTCGCGTTTGGCAATTTGCCAGATGTGCGTGTCCACGGGAACGGCCTCTGGTTTGTCCAGGGACATCAAGCAGACACAGTCAGCTACCTGCCAGCATACACATACACAGGACAATTGTTTAGCCAACCGCCTTCACACACACGATAATACGAGAGACAGCCCAAAAGTAATGCCCCTCTTCAATTTTCTCAAAATTCTTTAGTTGTTAACTTACAAACTTAACATAAACACAAAAGAAGCTTTTTTAAATACACCAGTGCAGTTATTTTTCCACAAAGTCTATCACGATCCACACACTTGCCCAATGTGGAACCAGTGCCAGTTTGACGTTACGGTAAAATAATGAACAAATGGCCTTTCTGGTTTCCTTGTGAACATTGGGGGGAACCCACCGAGCACAAACTTGGGAATAACCAAGGTTACCAGTAACCACAACAACAACATGAATTTATCTAGCGCCCTCCACACCAGGCGGCGGCCCAGATCACAATAACCATCTCTATGGCATAATGACAGATACCGAGGCTCTCACTCAATTTGCCCTGAGTGATGTGTCGATCTTCACATTATAGAATCATAGAATTATACAAGAACAACAAAATTACATTTTGCCCGAGCATGGGGGAGGGATGGTGTAGGGGTGAGGGAAGGCGGAGAGGTGGGAGGGAGACCAAAGGCACGGTCAAAGGGTCTTGAGACCGGCCTTGAAGGAGGCAAGGGAGGAAGCGAGGCGAAGGGACCGTGGGATGGAGTTCCAGAGTGTGGGGGTAGAGAGGCTGAAAGCCGGCCACCGATGGTAGGACGGGTCGAGAGGGAGACATGGAGCAGACCGGAGCCCAATGAACGGAGGGAGTGGGCAGGTTGGTAGGGAATCAGAAGGTCAGATAGGTAGGAGCACAGAATACAGCACAGAAGGAGGCCATTCGGCCCATCGTGTCTGTGCCGGCTCTTTGAAAAGAGCTTCCCAAATCAATCCCACTCCCCCGCGCTCTCCCCATAGCCCTGCAAACCTGTCCTCCCCAAATAATTATCTTTATGGATTAGTTCATCAACTTCCTGTGTATTCTCTTCATTAACAGCTGTTGCCAGCCACCCACTGTGAGATCTATCTTGGTTCAGTTTCTCCACTTTTCACACGACTTGCCCAGGGTTTTACAGTACCCGCATCAACACATAACTGTTCCATACACTTTTATCATGCAATGGTGAATCTCAATCGGCAAAATCCCCTCAGATGTGAGAAATTCGATTACTGCTCTCTGCTTAACACGTGTATTAATGCTAGGCACCATTTTAGACTGCTGTAATGTGCTCCAACTAGATAGAAGTAAACAAAACTTTCACAGCAGGACGGGATATACACAAGCATCTTGTGCATGTTTTTCATTACTGTACTACCTGCCTTTCTTCAAAATATAAATAGGAGGCATTATGTTTGGGGTATCCCACATAATAATATTCCTTGTATTTGATATAGTGCCTTATCACGTCATTGAGGCGTCTCAAGGCATTTCACAGAATATATTGTAAAGCAGATTGACTGTGTATTTTGTGGGCGGAACCCAGCAGCCAACTGTGCACAGCAATGTCCTACAAACAGTCGTGGATTCAGTGTTCAATTTTTTGAGGGAGGGATTATTACTAAAATGATCCACCAATCGACTAACAACCAAGCTCCTACTTACTGCTAGGTAAACAAAGGATGTGGATTAAGAGAACTTGCCCAAGGTTTCGCCCCACCCAGGGATCGAATCCGGGTCCTCATGTTTGCAAGGTGAGTGCTCTAATCACTACACTACAGTCTCCATTAAGCCACTGACGCATAGTGCTTACTATTACTGAAAGTGTGGGAATTTAAGATCATTTTATTTTAGAACAAATGAAACACAATAAATAAATGAATAATCCTTGTATTTGACATAATAATAATCCTTGCATTTGATATAGCGCCTTATCACATCTTTGAGACGTCTTAAAGCGCTTCACACGATATGAGTTGACTAAATTTTGTGAAGATAACGTCTTTCATGTTAGGAGGATGTCTCAAAGCACTTCACAGGATTTACAGTAAAGTACAGTGGCTGCATTTTATCTTTACAGTCGCCACACTCGCACACAACTACCCAAAAGGAGCTTTGAGACATTCCAACGTAAGATGCTACAAAAATGCAACTTTGATTTAAACTTTCCAAAACCGATCCTCACTCTGTTCTTTGTTCCCACATTGACAAGCAGATGCTGCACAGCTGGTTACAGGTAAACTGAGGTGTGACTCACCTTTGCGCCCACGCCAGGTAAGGTGCACAATGCCCGCTTCGCCTCCTCGTAGGGAACTGTACGCAGCGACTGCAGCCAGCCTGAGCCGTGCTGTTCCACAATCAGCCGCGCACTCTGACTGATGAACTCTGCTCTGTACCCAAACCCCAGGTCTCGCAACCGCTCAACAACATCCGTTCCTGTAACAGAGAGCACAGCAAACTTTACGCACTGCCCCCAACCCAAACCAGCCCCCAATACTGCTCCAACCCCACCTCGACATCTCTCATTACAGCCTCACCGAGCAGTGGAAATACACTGCTTATTTTATCATAATTTTGAGCTCCTGATGTGGCATAAACTGCTAAACACAGGCAAGTCCCACCCTTATGTCAAGACGCTGTCAATATCTCACATTCATTTGTGCATTTATACATATGCCTAACTCACCACCTCCCAATACCTCGTTTCTGAGCCGTTTAATCAGAGTGATTAGTGCTCAGGGGTTTATTGTATATAACACTCTCCTCAATTGGCAAGTGCCTATAAAATTCATGGAATAATGTAAACACCGCTCTCAATAGATGAGAGTTGAATATATTCTATAAAATATAATGTATAAAATACCCTCTTTAACACATAAACATCGTAGAATCTATAGGATAATATATACCATCCTTAACATATGTACCATGTTCCCATTTCACCACCTTCAAAGCACTGGAATCACTTAAGAGCTCAGTCTTAAACCACTGTCTCTGCTTGCACTGGGCTGGCACCTGACTTCCATTGCCTACCTGCCAGCGATGCCAGTGTTGGGAAGGAGTAGTAGGTGACGGAGTCCAGCTGGCACAATCGCTCCCCGTAAACCTGACACAAGCGCTCGATCATGGCCGTAATGCGAGAGATCTGATTGTTCGTGGTGCAGATGAATGAGAAGAGGCACTCGGTGGGCTCCTGGCGCAGGACTCGCACCCCTGGTACAATAACAACAACTTACATTTATATAGTGACCCTCACACAGCGTAGCGTCTCAGAGCCGAGGCAAGCTAGGGTCATCATAAGCACCGTCCAAGAGGAATGTCTTCAGGCATGATCTGAAGATCATAAAATCATAGAATCGTACTGCACAAAAAGAGGCCATTCGGCCCATCAAGTTTGTGCCGACTCTTTGAATAGAGCAATTAATGTCAATCCCACTCCCAGCCCTTTCCCCATAACCCTGCAAACCCGTCCTCCTCAAATACCCATCCGCCGCGTTTTTAAAAGTCGTTATCAATCGGCCTCCATCACCCTTTCAGGCAATGAGTTCCAGATTCGAACAACTCGCTCCGTGAAAAAATTTCTTCTCACCTCCACTCTGCTTCTTTTAGAGACTATTTTAAATCTGTGACCTCAAGTCACCGACACATCCACCAGTGGAAACAGTTTTTCCCTTTCTAACCTATCAAATCCCCTCATGGTTTTGAAGACCTCTATTAGGTCTCCTCGTAACCTTCTCTGCTCCAATGAGAATAATCCTCTCCTCCCTATCCTTTCCTCATAATCAAGGTCCCTCATTCCGGGTACCATCCTCGTAAATCTCCTCTGCGCCCTTTCCAATGCCTTAACATCCCTCCTATAGTGTGGTGCCCAGAACTGGGCGCAGTATTCTAACTGAGGCCTAACCAGTGTTTTATATCGGTTAATCATAACCTCCTGACTCTTGCACACTATGCCCCTATTTATAAAGCCTAGTATCCCATATGGCCTTTTTACAGCCTTATCTACCTGTCCTGCCACCTTCAAGGATTCATTTACCTGCAACCCCAGGTCTCTCTGTTCTTTCACCCCCTTAAGATTGTATTACCAGCCTGTATTGCTCCCCTTATTCTTTCTACCAAAATGCATTATTTCGCATTTCTCCACATTGAAATTCATCTGCCATGTGTCTGCCCATTTTACCATTCAAGATGGGGAAGGGGCGAGGTGGAGGGTTGGGGGAGTGTTCCAGAGTTTAGGGATGTAGTGGCTGAAAGCGCGGCCACAGATGGTGGAGCATTGTTATGATGGTGGTCAGCATCCATAAACTCATCCTATAACAAGGCTGCGATAGCCAGGTTCACTGTATATAAACACAGCTGACTGGCTCACTTTCTGACTGTTATAACCAAATTAGAGCATTATATGAGCACCAATATGTTAATCTGTAAATACACTGTCCCTACACTTCACAGTACATCCTGTGAAACGCTTTGACATGTCCTCCTGATGTGAAAGGCACTATATCAAACAAACGCATTGTGCTTCATTGTTATACGGCAACATGTTATAACGCTCCTATATTTACACACCTCACAACTATCAACTCTTAACCTTCTCAGTTGCTGATCACAAAAGGCGTGTGTCACATGTCTGAAATGTGCTGTGGACCACATTGTGCCGCAGCTTGTGATTCAGCCTATTGTGAGAGTGGGATGCACAGCTTTTATGAGCTCCGTCCCTCATCCTGATCGCTCTGCCCCCTCGCCCGTCAACCCACCCCCTTAGCCCCGTCGGTCTGCCCTGCACCTGCAGTAAATAATCCTCCTTCCAATTCTGTGCTACAGACCCAGCTCCCGGCAGGTACTGACCAGGGAAACCTGGTGCCACCCGCTGGAAGTTCTTGTCGGCTCGGCTCCAGTGTGAGTACAGGTCAGCCAGTGACACGGACAGCTGGAAATAGTCAGTGAGAATATCCTGCTCCCGGGAACCTCCAGTGTCAGGTTCCTGCTTTACAGGACTGAGTGGTGTTCCGTGGTGTCCCGGCTCCAGCTTCACTGCACACAGTATCCTGGAGTTTGCCCACATACCAGCTGCAGCTTCTATTTCCCTTTTTATTTCCTTTTTCATTTTCCTGCCCACCCGGTTTGTAGAAGGTGCTTTTCTTCTTTTCTTCCTAACGGCGGTGGGGCTGCGGTTGCCCGCTGTGGGGCTGCCGTTGCCCGCTGTGGGGCTGCTGTTGTCCGCTGTGGGGCTGCTGTTGTCCGCTGTGGGGCTGCCGTTGCCATCTGTGGGGCTGCCGTTGCCATCTGTGGGGCTGCCGTTGCCCGCTGTGGGGCTGCCGTTGCTCGGATTGTCCCTGTGGTATGTCCGGTACCAGATCCTGTCATTCACCTGGGTCAGGGTCCACACCCGCCCAGCTAACACACCCGTCCAGTGCCCGCAGCTCCTTTCCTGCCACCTGCAACATCACAGCGTGTCACAGAGCGCAGAGTGTGTAAGCCTTCTCCCACACAACCCCTCTGCCCTGCCCACCAAGTGCCCCTCCCTCCACTGCGCCACCAGAGCCCCTCCCCCACATTGCCCCACCAAGAGCCCCTCCCCCACACTGCCCACTCAGAATCTCGCCCACACCCAGAGCCCCTCCCCCACACTGCCCCACACAGACAAACCCAGACTAACCGGAAGGACTGAGCACCAGATAGCACAATGTCCAGGCTCAGCTCGGATTGTGGGCAGGGGATGGAGTGCCAGTCGGCAGAGGCCACTGACAGTGTGAGGTGCCTCTGCCCCGCATCACCTTCCATCGTCCTGCACAGAGAAAGAAGCAAATAAGTGCGATAACGTACTCCGGGACAGGCAGATTGTCAATGTCACATCCAGCCCAGGTACAGGTAACAAACCAACACAAACTGGAATTTACCAAAGTATGTTCCAAGGAAGTAAAATTCCTTGAAACGTTGGTGGTTTTCAAGACTGGTTTTCGCTCAGCAGATAGTTTTGTTGCTGATAAATGGGCAGATAGGACAAGACCTCAGGCCTTCAAATAAATATAATTTAATCTCAATAAATAAAAGGCCTCAATAGGTGTCAGTTGGGCTCAGTTGGTAATGCTCTGATTCCTGAGTCAGAAGGTTGTGGGTTCAAGCCCCAGGTCTGTAACCCCACACACCGGGTACTGACAGGGCAGTTGTTGGGAGGGAGACTGTCAGAGATAACATCTGTGAGAGGAGACATTATAATGAGCTGTTCAGACGGATGTTAAAGATCCCAAGAACAGAGAGTTCAGGTGTGAACTGCTGATCATAAACCACATACACCGGACCTTCAGCAGCCCCCACCCCACCCCACCCCCACCACCCCACCCCCAACCACCCCCACCCCACCCACCCCACAACCCCACCCCCAACCACCCCCACCCCACCCCACCCCCACCCACCCCACAACCCCACCCCCAACCACCCCCACCCCCACCCCACCCCCAACCCCCACCCCCAACCCCACCCCCAACCCCACCCCCAAACCCCCACCCCACCCCCCAACCCCACCCCACCCACCCCACCCCCCAACCCCACCCCCAACCCCACCCCCCAACCCCACCCCCACAACACCACCCCCAACCACCCCCCCCCCACCCTCACCCCCAACCCCCAACCCCACCCCCCACCCACCCCCACTTTCACCCCCACCCCACCCTCACCCCCCAAACCCATCCTCACCCCCCTCCCCCCCCCCGCCCCTTACCCCCAGTGAGTGTGTGTCTCTGTGTCCCTCTCTCTCTGGTTTTTCTCTCACAAATTCTCCCACTATTGTATTGTAGCCATTGGCCGAGAGAACCTCTCAGTGTTGACCTCCGGCCCCGCGCGCGGTGTGTGGACCGAGTGAATACCTTCCCGGAGTTGCCATTTGTGTGTGTGTGTGTGTGAAGGCACTGAGTGTGTGTGTGTGAGGGCACTGTGTGTGTGTGTGTGAGGGCAGATCTGTGTGTGTGTGTGTGTGTGTGAGGGCAGATCTGTGTGTGTGTGTGTGTGTGTGTGTGAGGGCAGATCTGTGTGTGTGTGTGTGTGAGGGCAGATCTGTGTGTGTGTGTGTGTGAGGGCACTGTGTGTGTGTGTGTGTGAGGGCAGGTGTGTGTGTGTGTGTGAGGGCAGATCTGTGTGTGTGTGTGTGTGTGTGTGTGAGGGCAGATCTGTGTGTGTGTGTGTGTGTGTGTGTGTGAGGCAGATCTGTGTGTGTGTGTGAGGGCAGATCTGTGTGTGTGTGTGTGTGTGAGGGCGTGTGTGTGTGTGTGAGGGCGTGTGTGTGTGTGTGTGTGAGGGCAGATCTGTGTGTGTGTGTGTGTGAGTGCTGTGTGTGTGTGTGTGTGTGAGCACTGTGTGTGTGTGTGTGTGAGCGCTGTGTGTGTGTGTGTGTGAGCGCACTGTGTGTGTGTGTGTGTGTGTGTGAGGGCACTGTGTGTGTGTGTGTGTGTGAGGGCAGATCTGTGTGTGTGTGTGTGAGGGCACTGTGTGTGTGTGTGTGTGTGAGGGCACTGTGTGTGTGTGTGTGAGGGCAGATCTGTGTGTGTGTGTGTGTGTGTGAGGGCAGATGTGTGTGTGTGTGTGTGAGGGCAGATCTGTGTGTGTGTGTGTGTGAGGGCAGATCTGTGTGTGTGTGTGTGTGTGTGTGAGGGCAGATCTGTGTGTGTGTGTGTGTGTGAGGGCAGATCTGTGTGTGTGTGTGTGTGTGAGGGCACTGTGTGTGTGTGTGTGTGTGAGGGCACTGTGTGTGTGTGTGTGTGAGGGCACTGTGTGTGTGTGTGTGTGTGAGGGCACTGTGTGTGTGTGTGTGTGAGGGCACTGTGTGTGTGTGTGTGTGAGGGCACTGTGTGTGTGTGTGTGTGAGGGCACTGTGTGTGTGTGTGTGTGTGAGGGCAGATCTGTGTGTGTGTGTGAGGGCACTGTGTGTGTGTGAGGGCACTGTGTGTGTGTGTGTGTGTGAGGGCACTGTGTGTGTGTGTGTGTGTGTGAGGGCAGGTGTCTGTGTGTGTGTGTGTGTGAGGGCACTGTGTGTGTGTGTGTGTGTGTGTGTGAGGGCACTGTGTGTGTGTGTGTGTGAGGGCACTGTGTGTGTGTGTGTGTGTGTGAGGGCACTGTGTGTGTGTGTGTGAGGGCACTGTGTGTGTGTGTGAGGGCACTGTGTGTGTGTGTGTGAGGGCACTGTGTGTGTGTGTGTGTGTGTGTGAGGGCACTGTGTGTGTGTGTGTGTGTGAGGGCACTGTGTGTGTGTGTGTGTGTGAGGGCACTGTGTGTGTGTGTGTGTGTGAGGGCACTGTGTGTGTGTGTGTGTGTGTGTGTGAGGGCACTGTGTGTGTGTGTGTGAGGGCACTGTGTGTGTGTGTGTGTGAGGGCACTGTGTGTGTGTGTGTGTGAGGGCACTGTGTGTGTGTGTGTGTGAGGGCACTGTGTGTGTGTGTGTGTGTGAGGGCACTGTGTGTGTGTGTGTGTGTGTGAGGGCACTGTGTGTGTGTGTGTATGTGAGGGCACTGTGTGTGTGTGTGTGTGAGAGGCACTGTGTGTGTGAGGGCACTGTGTGTGTGTGTGTGTGAGGGCACTGTGTGTGTGTGTGTGTGAGGGCACAGTGTGTGTGTGTGTGTGTGTGTGTGTGAGGGCACTGTGTGTGTGTGTGTGTGTGTGTGTGTGTGTGTGAGGCACTGTGTGTGTGTGTGTATGTGTGTGTGAGAGAGGCACTGTGTGTGTGTGTATGAGAGGCACTGTGTGTGTGTGTGTGAGGCACTGTGTGTGTGTGTGTGTGAGGGCACTGTGTGTGTGTGGTGTGTGTGTGAGGGCACTGTGTGTGTGTGAGGGCACTGTGTGTGTGTGTGAGGGCTCTGTGTGTGTGTGTGAGGGCACTGTGTGTGTGCGTGTGAGGGCACTGTGTGTGTGAGGGCACTGTGTGTGTGTGTGTGTGTGAGGGCACTGTGTGTGTGTGTGTGTGAGGGCACTGTGTGTGTGTGTGTGTGTGTGAGGGCACTGTGTGTGTGTGTGTGTGAGGGCACTGTGTGTGTGTGTGTGTGTGAGGGCACTGTGTGTGTGTGTGTGTGTGTGTGAGGGCACTGTGTGTGTGTGTGTGTGTGTGAGGGCACTGTGTGTGTGTGTGTGTGAGGGCACTGTGTGTGTGTGTGTGAGGGCACTGTGTGTGTGTGTGTGTGAGGGCACTGTGTGTGTGTGTGTGTGTGTGTGAGGGCACTGTGTGTGTGTGTGTGAGGGCACTGTGTGTGTGTGTGAGGGCACTGTGTGTGTGTGTGTGAGGGCACTGTGTGTGTGTGTGTGTGAGGGCACTGTGTGTGTGTCTGTGAGAGGGCACTGTGTGTGTGAGGTCACTGTGTGTGAGAGGGCACTGTGTGTGTGTGTGTGAGGTCGCTGTGTGTGTGTGAGGTCACTGTGTGTGAGAGGGCACTGCGTGTGTGTATGTGTGTGTGAGGGCTCCGTGTGTGTGTGTGTGTGTGTGTGTGAGGGCACTGTGTGTGTGTGTGTGTGTGTGTGAGGGCACTGTGTGTGTGTGTGTGAGGTCACTGTGTGAGAGCGCACTGTGTGTGTGTGTGTCAGGGCTCTGTGTGTGTGTGTGTGAGGGCTCTGTGAGTGAGGGCACTGTGTGTGTGAGGGCACTGTGTGTGTGTGTGAGGGCTCTGTGGGTGTGTGTGTGAGAGGGCTCTGTGTGTGTGTGTGTGTGTGTGAGGGCTCTGTGAGTGAGGGCACTGTATGTGTGAAGGCACTGTGTGTGTGTGTGTGTGTGAGGGCTCTGTGTGTGTGTGTGTGTGAGGGCTCTGTGTGTGTGTGTGAGGGCTCTGTGTGTGTGTGTGTGTGTGAGGGCTCTATGTGTGAGAAAGGGCAATGTGTGTGTATGAGGGCAGTGTATGTGTGAGGGGTCACCGTGTGTGTGTGTGTGTGTGTGTGTGTGAGAGAGAGAGGGCTCTGTGTGTGTGTGAGAGAGAGAGGGCTCTGTGGGTGTGTGTGTGAGAGAGGGCTCTGTGGTTGTGTGGGAGGGCTCTGTGTGTGTGTGTGTGTGGGAGGGCTGTGTGTGTGTGTGTGTGTGGGAGGGCTCTGTGTGTGGGTGTGTGTGTGAGGGCTGTGTGTGGGAGGGCTCTGTGTGTGTGTGTGTGGGAGGGCTCTGTGTGTGGGTGTGTGTGGGAGGGCTGTGTGTGTGTGTGTGTGTGGGAGGGCTCTGTGTGTGGGTGGGCTGTGTGTGTGTGTGTGTGTGTGTGTGTGGGAGGGCTCTGTGTGTGGGTGTGTGTGTGAGGGCTGTGTGTGGGAGGGCTCTGTGTGTGTGTGTGTGGGAGGGCTCTGTGTGTGGGTGTGTGTGGGAGGGCTGTGTGTGTGTGTGTGAGGGCTGTGTGTGGGAGGGCTCTGTGTGTGTGTGTGTGTGGGAGGGCACTGTGTGACTACGTGAAAGGCGCTCTATAAATGGAATCTTGTGTGTGTGAGAGAGGGCTCTGTGTGTGTGTGTGTCAGGGCACTGTGTGTGAGGGCAGTGTGTGTGTGTGTGTGTGTGTGTGTGTGGGCTCTGTGTGAGAGGGCACTTTTTGTGTGTGAGGGCTCTGCGTGTGTGTGAGGGCTCTGTGTGTGTGAGGGCTCTGTGTGTGTGAGGGCTCTGTGTATGTGTGAACGCTCTGTGTGTGAGGGCTCTGTGTGTAAGGGCTCTGGTGCGTGTGTGAGGGCTCTGTGTGTGTGTGTGTGGGCTCTGTGTAAGAGGGCACTTTTTGTGTGTGAGGGCTCTGTGTGTGTGTGAGGGCTCTGTGTATGTGTGAGAGGGCACTGTGTGTGTGTGTGTGGGCTGTGTGAGAGGGCACTTTTTGTGTGTGTGAGGGCTCTGTGTGTGAGGGCTCTGTGTGTGAGGGCTCTGTGTGTAAGGGCTCTGTGGTGTGTGTGTGAGGGCTCTGTGTGTGAGGGCTCTGTGTGTGAGGGCTCTGTGTGTAAGGGCTCTGTGGTGTGTGTGTGAGGGCTCTGTGTGTGAGGGCACTGTGTGTGTGTGAGAGAGGGCACTGTGTGTGTGTGTGTGGGCTCTGTGAGAGGGCACTTTTTGTGTGTGAGGGCTCTGTGTGTGTGTGTGTGTGTGAGGGCTCTGTGTGTGTGTGAACGCTCTGTGTGTGAGGGCTCTGTGTGTAAGGGCTCTGTGGTGCGTGTGTGAGGGCTCTGTGTGTGGGTGTGAGGGCACTGTGTGTGTGTGAGAGGGCACTGTGTGTGTGTGTGTGTGTGTGTGTGAGGGCACTGTGTGTGTATGTGTGTGTGTGAGGGCTCTGTATGTGTGTGAGGGCACTGTGTGTGTGTGTGAGGGCAGTGTGTGTGTGTGAGGGCTGTGTGTGCGTTTGTGTGTGAGGGCTCTGTGTGTGTGGGGGGATTCTGTGTGTGAGGGGTCTGTGTGTTCGTGTGTGAGGGCTCTGAGTGTGTGTGTGAGGGCTGTGTGTGTGTGTGTGTGAGGGCACTGTGTGTGCGTGTGTGAGGGCTGTATGTGTGCCTGTGAGGGCACTGTGTGCGCGTGTGAGGGCACTGTGTGTGAGAGTGCACCGCGTGTGTGAGAGCACTGGTGTGTGTGAGGGGCGGCACTGTGTATGTGTGAGGATCACTATGTATATGTGAGGGGGTTCTGTATGTGTGTGTATGAGGGCAGTGTGTGTGAAAGTGCAGTGTATTTGTGTGTGTGTGTGTGTGTGTGTGATTTCTAACCTGCTCTTCCTCGCAAAAGTCCTAGAATGTGTTGTTGCCAATCAATTCCGCGCACACCTCTCCTCCCACTCCCTCTTCGAACCCCTCCAGTCCGGTTTCCGCCCACAGTACAGAGACTGCGCTTGTGAAAGTCACCATCGACATCTCTATCTGTGACCAGGGCTCCCTCTGCCTCCTTGTCCTCCTGGACCTCTCCGCCGCATTCGACACAGTTGATCAC